ATCCCTTGATAATTGAACACTTGTTTGATCTCAGGGCGAAGACCGCTCACAAACTTCACGCATTTGTCCTCCTCATTGTCTACACCATCATACATAGGACAGAATCTAACCAAGTCTTCAAATTTAGTCACGTATTCAGCCACTGAATTCTCTCTTTGTTTCAATTCAAGGAATTCCACCTGTTTCTTATGTCTCACATCTTGGGGAAAATATTTCTCCAAGAACAGCCGCTTGAAATTATCCCAGTTTACTTGAGTTCCCGCAACCATCATTCTTTGCAAAGCACCTTGCCACCAGATGCCAGCCTCTCCAAAAAGCATAAAGACAGCCAAAGTTACCTTCTGTGTCAAAGGACATCCCATAGCTTGGAATATCTTTTCAACTTCAAAAATCCAGTCAATAGCTCCATCAGGGTTATAGCCTCCACGGAAACTTGGCGGATTATTTCGCTGAAATCTCTCTAGCCAATCTATCTCTGGTCGTTGGTTCAAATTACTCATAGCCTGAGCCATCGCTTGCAGAGCATCAGCGATTGCACGATCGTTTCTACCTCTTGCCATTGTTTTCTGTCCTCCCAGAAAAGTTAACAATTATGCTCTAAAACAACAAACTTAATCAATCGTCATATTAACATATCAATAAGTTCAACAATCTACCAAACAAGCATAGCAGACTCATAACTCACGACCGATTGAATCGACCTGCTCTGATACCACTAAATGTGACACCCTTACTACCCCAACACATACATAAAAAAATAATATAATAAAATTAAGAAGAATAAACTTAATCAAAGTTGGTAAAAAGGGTTCACATAAAACTTTATAACTGTTCTTTCTCAAATGACTTAAAAATAAAATTTGAAAGGTAAAATTTAAGAGTTTACAGATTTTCAAAGAAATTACATTCATTACAATACCAAATCCATATAAATATTCTATCTTAGAAATCCTCTGCCCCGATGTCACACTATCAGAGCATTCCCAGAATTTAACTGTTGGCATTCTAGATGTCACTCGTAGCTGGATCTTCTTCACCTAAAATATTCACAATTTATACGGTGAGAAAAGAAAATATCTATATGCAAAGTACATACAAACACATCACAATATAATCTCATCATAATTCATTATTTAATAAAATATATACAAGCATATATATAGATATATGTATCAATCACTCATCATCTTCACATCTCAATTCACATTTCACATATCTCATTATTATATACATATCTTAGTCCATCATAATCCACACTAATCATATGATTTACAACATCATTTCCACATCCATAATTCATGCCAATCTCACAATTAACACTATGCCGAGACCTCGCCACATCTGACACAAGTGATACGGATTAATTGCCTCACTCAACCCACACCAGATCAGGGTCACGCCCTCCCTGTAGCATCACTTACCCAGGGGTCGTGCCATCCTTGATCATTTGGTGTGAGGAACCACAATCACATTACAATCAATACAATCTCTTGCAATTAACCCTATGCCAGGGCTGCCATAAGCGACATAAGTGGTGGTGTTAACTGTCTTACTCATCCCACACCATGCTAGGGTCACGCCCTCCCTGTAGCACCACTTACCCAGGGGCCGTGCCATCCCTAGTCATCGATGTGAGGCATCACAATTACAATCATAATCACATTCATACAACATCTCATCTCATTAATCAAATTCACATTACGTACACAATTTCACCTCACATATACAATAGATAAGCTCAACAAAATAAGGGTTTACACACCCCTCAAGCAATTCACATCAATATCATTCATTCTTAACAAGTAATATAGCAATAACATCATTAATATAATAATCAATAGAATAATTAATGTAAACAGTAAAATCCCTAATTATTCCAAAATCTAGCTCACCGCATTTTCCTTACAATTCATTCTTCCTCCCAGATCATCATTCCTACACTTCGGCATATTTATAAACCTCAACACAGATAATTTAATAGAACTAATAATTCTCCAAATAAATAATTATAAAATTAATCATGATCTTAAAGAATTCTTCCTCTACCCAATTCCCTCATGTACTCTACATATAAATAATCCTCTTTTCCCCCGTACCTGGATAATAGGAACTCGGGCAGAACCTCCTCCTCTCTTTCCTTAAAAAGTGACCGGAACTAGGGCAGAACCTCCACCTCTCTCCTTAAACAATAACCAGAACTGAAACTAGAATAGAACCTCCTCTTATGGATTCCTCTTTCTCTCTCTCCTCTTCTCTTTCCCCTCCTCTCTCTCTTTCTCTCTCTCTCTCTCTTCTTTCTCTCTCTAGGACTTCCTTCTCCAAGTTATGAATTTTCCTTGAGTCCCTAGCCCCTATTTATAGGAATATGGCTCATCTAACCCAGAACGGCCCGTTCCAAAAGCGGAACGCCCGTTCTGGGCCCTTCAAATGTACGCAAATTTTTGAACTGGAACAGCCCGTTCCAAAACCAGAACGGCCCGTTCTCAATCTAAGCAGAACGGCCCGTGCTCCCTCCGGAACGGCCCGTTCTGCAAGGAGAACGCCCCGTTCTCCGTTCTCCAAGCAGAACGGCCCGTTCTACATTGGAGAACGGCCCGTTCCAAGACCGTTTTGCAACATTAAATTCAGCTCATTTCTAATGCTCAGAACGACTCGTTCCACTTTTGGAACAGCCCGTTCCGAGTTACTCAAATACCCCTAATACCTTTATAAAATTACGAAAATGTCATCAGTAATTACGAAAATGCCATCCGTAAAAATAATAACAACTGGGTGTTACAAAATTTCCTTGGATATCTGGAGAAATTTCCATTTGAAGCCTTCATTATTCAACAAAGAATCTAAAAAGCAGTTCGTTCTTTTCATTAGGAGGCCAACTAAATGGTTTTGTATCACAATTTCACAATTTTCTCTCTTTGCAACCATCTTAAGTCCTTTCCAGCATTTTCAACATCACCGGATGGTAACATTTCAGCTGTAATATTTCTTTTATTTAAAACACTACAATTGAGATTGTAATCGGGGTTATCATCAGTTTCTCCATTGACCATGTTTCTAGAATCCTATGCCACTAAAATATAACCACATGCACATATAAGACCATGACATGTGCAATGTCTTCATCATAAAGGGAACAAGGTTTTGTTCATCACACACATACGATCCAGCCCCCAAAACACTATCTAATTTGTGAGTTTCCAAGAAACCAACCAAGCAACACAGAAAGCACAGTAACTCACATATGTACTAATCGTCATTCCAATATATAATAAAATGTAAAGTATAACTGCCATATATCTCTTATTTTTTATTCCAATATATAATTAACTCATCTCTGTCACGTACACACATAGCGGCTGATATGAATTGTTTCTTAACTGTGTACATTCAGATCTAGTGGCTGATATTGTTTTTATTAATGGTGTTTTCATTACCCTAAAAAATGGAATGTTTTTTTAACTTAATTGAGTCTTTCCTTTCAAACACGGTAATTTTTTAACTTTCCTTCTTTGAGATATATCTAAATTTTAGACTGTCATAAATTTTTATCTCCTACATTATTAGTTTTAGAAACAAAAATCTAAACATTTAGAAAATACAGATACAAAATGTAATGGTTTAGAAAGTTAGAGACTTAAACTAAAAATAATCCATTTTCACGGATTAATAGCATTGTTAATCGTCATTGTGCACAAAGATCAATTAATATGAGATTGTTGTAGTTTAATAAATGATTTAATTAGATCAGTTTGGATCCTACAAATTAATGTAGTTGCTATGATATTCAAAGAAGAACTTAGCTATCTACATAACATGATTTTCTGATTATACATATGGTTTATAGAAAAAACATATCATTAATAATTGCTTGCGATTTTGATTTTACTGGTGCAGGTTTGACTTGCGATTTTGAAATCTAAACTAATAATTGCTTGCTTTGAGTTGCAATCCATCGAGAGAAAGTAAAAGACGTACAATTAAATTATATATGAAATATTTTACTCAACTACAATATTTGGGTATTTATCCGAATATTTAAACAGATGAGGCTCCCATGTAATGCCGAAACCTTGCACAATTTTTTTATGTTATGAGTCATGGAAACAAGCATGGAAGAATAAAGAGACAAGAGAGAGCATGCATATAAGCTTAATTTAGGTATAAATTTATGAATATGTTAGTGTCACAGTAACACAGAAAGCACAGTAACTAATCGCATGACAGTGAAATGAAAGTGTTATTGTGCCACCGAAGTAGAAATTACCATGGTAGTAGTTGAGAATCCCTCACTCTCTCCGGCATCCAGCCCCGCTGCAAAATCCTCAATAGCGTCGCCGCCTTCCGGTAATCCGCCGGAATCGCTAGCTCCGACGACTGGTTCCGCCGCAGAACGGCGGCTCTCGGCGACGGCGTTGACGCGCCGAAGAGAACGCACTTGGCGAAACGAACGAGGCCGATCAACGTGATGAGGTCCGTTTTGGATTGTTCCTCGCTCCGATTGATAATCTCTTCCTCGAGGCTCTCGATCTCCGCTCTGCAGCTGGACTCGTCGCGAATCTCTAGTTTGTCGAAAATCAAAGAGAGATGCGCTTGATCGGGAACGATCTCGTGCTTGATCTGGTCGTTTAGGTGGAGTTCTTGGAGAGGGAAAACATCGAGGAGAGTGGAGAGTTCTCCGGTGAGCGCCAGTGAAAGTTGTCGGCGACTTGCACGAGCAGATTGAACTTACTTCTTCCATTGGAGCAATCTTCAATTAGCGTTTTGATCTTGTGAAGAACGATGTACATTTTTTCGAGGCAGAGGATGAGAGAGTAGGAGAACAAAACAGAGTTGGAATTGGAAACGCAAATCAGCTCCTTGAAAACGACGCAAAGGAGCTGCGTTTTGCGGATGGTACAGGAGGAAGTTGGGGGTGTTGGTGAGGAAACATATCTGATCCGTGAGTTGAAGCAAAGACTCACTCACGTGCCCTGTTTTTTATTATTATTTTGAATTAAGTCTAAACCTTTTTTATAATTTTTATAAAAACTTTGCAATTGACTGGTAAACATTGCGAGGGTTTTTAATCGCCGAAAAATTTAATTATTTGTAAAAATTAAAATAACTCTCAAAATTATAACATTTTTTTTGGTAATTTTTAAAAATCACAAAAAAAAAAATCGTTAATAATTATCTGATTTTTTTTTAGTGATCGAAGCAGTGCCTCATTCTTTTAGTATTAATAATATAATCGATAAAATAATACTAATAGTATTATTTATTGAAAATATTGTGAGTATTATTAGTATATTACAAATAAATTATAAATTTAGCAAATATGAATATATAAGAAATATTTTAATTAAAAATATAAGTTAAATATATTTTTAATGCTTTAAATAAGATAATTTAGTTTTTAGTCCCTCAAATTTGAAATTGATTATTTTAGTCCTTGTAATTTTAAAAACATCTTATTTTAGTCTTTGTACTCAAATTTTGTTCAAGAAACTTGTTTTAGTTCATATTAGTGAAAATATCACATAAAATTCGGCTGATAATGCATCACTATCTAGATTACTCA